GAAGAGATTCGGAATTCCTGTCCGTGCAATTACTTTAATTGCTTCCTTCTCCCTTCGTACTCCATCGGCTCCATGAATCTAGAACCTTAGCTAATAAACTGCAATACTGAAGCAACTGGATAAAACAACAAAAGGCACAGCGAAAGAGGAATCAAATAATTAAGAGACAGAAGTATTGGACTTCAATAACCCTTGCGCATAGCCGGTCCCATGAAATAATGCCCCGGTTCATTTAATTCCCAAAAGGAATCCAACAGGTGGATGGAAATCGTGAATGGATTTCAATAAGCTTTAAGCAAAAGACGTGACAACAGATATGGCCACGACGGTGTCATCCTTGTGTTGATGACGATCTCTAGGCTACTGGTCAGCCTCGACGCCGACGACTGCCAACAAGCTAGGTATTGGGCGATGGAAATCACTCGAGCCAGAATCGGACTCTGTTCGGTAGCTACAACAGTAACTGAACGTCTTAAAATTGTTAGAAACCGAACAGAAAAATAGGGTTACCGATCTGGCTGAGTCGCGGACTAGGTCGCTCTCTTTAAGACGTTCGCGGCACTGCCTTCTTTGCGCACGGCAGACTATCAGCCGGTCGCCTCCAGGATAAAACAGTCATTCTTATTTTGTTGCTCATCGGTTTTGTGCGAAAACCGGAGCTCTATGAACTCACTCTCTATCTCGTGTTTCTGCTCTCTGAGGAGGTGTTTAGAGGGTCTAGGGCGTCTCCTATTTATAGGAGGAGAAAACCCAGAATATTCCCTCTTTCTTTGGGAATAAGTTACATTTTAATTAGGAAGATAATTACTCCCATAATTAAAATATAATCTATTAAGATAATTATTCTTAATTATCTCCATAATATTCCTTATATTAATTATCCATCTTAATTTCGTATTATGGAAAAATACTGGATAATTAATTAGGAATTTCATTATAGCTTTTCAAAGCTATTCATCCCAACACAGATATACGAAGAAAAAAAAGAAGGATAAGGGAAAACGACTCTATCATAACATTTTCAATAGCATGCAACTCTGCCGAAAAAATGGAATTAGAAGTGTGGCTAGTTTGTTTTCCCGTGTTCTTTTTTGTTTGTTTTTCTAATGACAAAATTGAATGTTGTGTTCCCTACTACTCTACAAGCTTGAACATAATAATTAGTTTGACTTTGCCCTGCTTTTTTCATTTCAACCAAATAATGAATCACTATAATCATTATGACAATTATCATTATTTTCATCATCATCATCATAATAATTATTAGACTACAATGACCCTGCTATCTAGCTCAGCTGCTTTGATTGATTTGATTGTCACCCTTTCTCTAAGGTCTCTCTCTCTAATTCAGTCATTCGCTTCTTGGGATGCTGTGCAGTGCTGGTAAAGAAAGGGACACGAGAACTTAAATATGCGATTGCTTTTTTGGTTGTGTTCCTTTGTTGGGGTCAATGGAATAATGGGGATGATCATGATAATTATAATGAGGGCCTTATATATACATAATAATAACAATAATAATAATAATAATACATTTTTTCTTGCACTCATTTTTTAGTGCATCCAATCCACTCGCTTCATAATTGTTATGAGCAAGCGATTCATGTAATAATGTAAATCGCCATCTGGTATATGATGAGCAAAGAAAATATATAATTTGCGCAAAAATAATTCAAAATGTACTTTTTTTTACAAGGTCAGTTTCATTAAAAAAAACTGAAGAGTGATACAGAGTGGGATAAACCCAGTGATAAGGCTTAAGCAAAACACAAAGGAAAAGAAAGACCACTCCAATAAGCCCAAAAGAAGGGCCAATGCCCTAAACACCCGGTCCATAAATTATAGGTCTTAGCCCAAAGTACATAAGCCCAGAAAAAGACTGATGGGTGCCTGGATCAAGGGATGGTGATTTGATTGGTGGGTTTGGATTTTAATGGTGGAAGATCTTGTGGGGAAGTTCATTATTCCATGAAACATAATTTTGATTTGGTTGATTATACTGTACCGGCCTACCGGGTCAAGATAGACAAAGGATAAGCTCAAAAGTTGAGGATTGATTAGTGAAGATATTTTTGTACTCTTTTTTGTTTTGTTAGAAAGATCGACGCCAAGACGTGTAATTCATTGATGGAATAAAACGATCATGGGTAATCCCCACAATCATGGTACGTCCAATGTTTGAGTCCCGGGTCGCACACATCGAAGGAATGTGTGCCAAAATCATAAAGATGACCCCTATTAGCTAAAAAGTCGGCCGCAAAATTTGCTTTCCTGTAGACATGCTCGACTTTCACATCCCAGTCCAGATTTTTCTTCTGCAATTGTGAGAAGAGTTGTTGCTCATCCTGCCTCCAGGGAAATGTTGTTGTTGTACATTTGCAGCAGCAGGGCACAAATAGGGGGTAGTTGTGGTTTGATTGAATGTTCAACTTGGTGCTGGTGTGATTGCTTGCTTTAATGGTAGAATCTGAGTAGTTTCTTCATTGATTTAGACTCATGTGCTGATTTTGGCTAAGAGAGTGTTTAATTGGTAACAACAAATTACCATAAATCAGTGGATTTCCACCCTTCAATTGTCGGGCTGATGACATCCCTATTCTCGTTTAAACTTCCACGTTGACTTGTCGTCACCCTTCCAGCTTTTCATTTTAACTTTTTTTCATTCGAATTTAGTGTTGACTTTATCTTGCAAGCTCTGAAATGACCTTTTTCTAGTATGAAGTTAATTGCAAACAATATTCAGAATTGTTTGAATCACCGATTTATGAATAATTGTTTACAAGTGCACATACAAAAATGTTTGATATGCAATATAAGCAACAGCCTTTTTGAACAAAACATTTGTATTTATTCATTTTAATTAATAATTTTATGTTTATTAATTTATTTTTAATGACATACACACCACGACATAACAGATAAATAAATTTTCCAATCAACCCACATGACACATTCTCTTTCTTTCTGCCCTCTCTAATGTCTAAAGTCTAAATTACCTTTCCAGTCCCAATAGGCTCTATCATCAACCATCCATCCATTTACCATCATCAACATTTTGGCATCCTTTTTCACCATCTTAGAAATTTTTACTTATTTTTTAGTTAGCCCTGTTTCAATGATCATCATCGCCAATTCGCCATCATTGTGTTCTCATGTGTCCAGACATGCATGCTCTTCTTCTTCTTCTTCTTCTTCTTCATTGCCTTGCCGCGATCATGACGTGATCCCCTGTTCAAGTGGTAGTTTTATGTTATCATTGATATCATCATTACTTTGATTCTTCGGTTGTGGAAACACTACTCATCATTTCCCATTTAAAATTTGAGGTTGTTGAGGGCACAAGCAAACTTTCTCATAACTTGGTAATTTGCCAGGTTAGCGTTAGTCAGATAATTAGTCAGATTGTTGAGGGCATATAGAACCATCACTTGATCCTTGAAAAGATTCATCAAATACTTTCATTTTCTCAAGGTGGGACGTGTTCGTAGATTGCACTCTTTTTGCAGGTACTTTGCTGATTACATAAAACCGGAATAATCACGTGTTTCATGACGAGATTTAAGTCTTATGCACAAATTCAATTTAACACCAACCAACCAAGGCAACATACCATACCTTCCTTTGATAAGGAGAGAACACTTTTTTTGAGGTGGGAAATCATAGGAACTTTTTTCTGGTCGAACTGCCAATACGGTACGATTTCCCGGTTTGATTTGGACTTGTTAGAACTTAGAACCTGGTGCTAGCTGGAATTGGTTTGAGGCGCGACTTATTTGCAGTAGGCCCAAACCATGGAGTTCCCTTACCCATGAACAAAGGGCCCATCCAGCCAATACTTATGGCCCAAGGGCCAAGAGGCCTAGTGAAGGATTTTCTCCTAAACTCAAACCGCGCTACAGGGAACAAAGAACCATCTGAGTCTGCTGCTTGCTTTCCTAACAACCACGGATGCTGCTGCCGTAATTACCCTTGAACAAACCTAACATAACTCGAGCTATATGACCTGTTGTTTTTTAACAAGGTATTGTTAGCTATGACCTGTTGTTGACGAATAGCTATTCAGTCTTTCTACAGTAGAAATCAATAAACTCAGAATCGCAACATGACAAGAAAAGTAGTCTTAAATATTTGCCTGTCGCCAAGGCAATTCACAAACATGGGGAAAAAAAGAAGAAGAGAATGCTTTCAAAATCTCATCTAGCTCCAACCATGATGATTAGTTAGATGATCAAACTGCCACAGTGATACTCAACTGTGTCAGAACCTCCCTAATAGAAGGCTACAGACAACACCAGCTTCCCTAAGAAATTAGATATATCGATGTCGCATCATCAACATGTATGGTTTTCTCATAACGGTAGACTGAAAGGTTAAAAGGTTAGAATGTACATTATGATACTTACCATATCCAGTCATGATCACAGTGTGCAAATAAAACAATCTGTCATTGATGATAAGTAGCTGCCAGAAAGAATGGAACAACCAAAATCATCTCAGGGAAAGTGCTGAACTTTCAAAATTGAGCAACATTGTTAAAAGGCAAGGCAATATAGTGTTAAAAAGTTCTGCCCAAGAATACAAGACAAATAAAAATTATGCAACGAATGCCATCAGAACCTGTCAAAAATAAACTTCAATGAAACATGCAATGAATAATTGGATGGAAAAATTAATAAGTAGCCCCACACCATGTAGCTCAGAGGTCTTATGTACAATGGAAAGAAAATAAGGTCTACTTGCTCCCTATAGAACTGATTTTCCACACAGGAACTACACAGATGCTCACTAAGTGAGAGTGCACATATATCTCAAACACAGAAGCAGCTATGGAACATTTGAAAAATTAAAATTTATCAGATTCAAGAGTCATTGACGATCGGGAAAACGCCAGCACAAATTGAGAGCAAGCTGTTACAAAGCCGGGGTAGAACTTACATGGACGTAGGATTTTGAGTCGCCAATATTCAACATACCAGAAATAATTAGAGATGGATACTTCCCTAGTTTAACCTCCTCCTCCTAGGCGCACGAGAATCCCCACTGTCGACATCAGAGGCTCTCGAGCTATCATTCCTTCTTCTGGAAGAAGAGGTAGAAAGAGACACCATGGAATCAATTTCAGCAGCAGTGTCCATTTGACTTTCCGAGTTTATAACTGCAGCAATGCTCGAGAAAGAATCCCTGTCATCAACAGCTTGTTCCTGATTCCTCACTATGGGATGGTTTCTTAGAAGCTCGACCATTCTTTCACTAGTAGTATTAAAAGCAGCCGATAGTGAACTGTGAGCTGAAGCTCTTTGAGCATGTGATTGGGACCTCCGAAGCAACAGAGAGTGAAGCCGGCGGCTTCTTACTCCTCCCTCGGGACTACTTGTCCCACTGTGTGTCAAATCCACTACCTCGCTAGGATTTGGGACTGAAGTTTGCTCTGCACGGGCTCCCCTGAATGTCATCAACCTATTAATAAAGGAACTCCTATCAGTTATGTCACGGACCCCACTAGGATCTTGAGATGGAGTCAACTCTCCCACCATCTCAAGTCTACTTCCGAGGCGCCGAATCACCTCTTCCATTGGAAAGTGAAAGTGATTTCTCTGAATGGTCTGCCTCAGGCTCTCGACTCGCCTCGCCTGTGGCCTGCTTGGGATCTCAAGACTGGAGTCGTCTTCAGATGGACGAGAATTATTATTACCTCGCCCGTATATTGGGGTCACATTCTTGATGGTGACCTCCCCCTTGCATACAGGGCATTCTTTTGCTTCTGAATGGATATTTAACCATCTATAAAGGCATGCCCAACAGAAGAGGTGGCCACAACAAGTAACAACAGGATCTGAAGCCAGGACGAAGCAAATATTGCAATCGAAAAAACTCCCATCAGTGCCACTTCCCTTCTCGACGTTATCCTTATTTTCAGACACTTGGTCTTCTAGAAACATGTTGGCGTTTTCACACATTTTGAGGTCTTCATTGGAACGTTCTTCAGCTGCTACACTGCCTTCACCAGCTTGTAAGCCGCTCAAACCTGCAGAATCGCCTATCAATTGATTCAATTCCACCGAAAGTGATTGCCTCTCGCGCGGGAATTGGACTTGTCGCCATCTCCAACGCTGCCTAGCTCGAACTCTGACAGCTTGCCTTATTCTTTCGATAGGGTTATCATTAACCCAATCATCCAAGTTCGCACCTTCACTAGCTATTGCTTCTTCTGACTCTGTGTCTGGGCCAGGGCCGAGATTCAAATCGAGATTCATAGCATCCGGTGCCTCGTTCTCCATACCAAAGTGAAGCAATCTCCGATGCCGGAACCTGAATTTCCACGAGGTCAAACAAAATGCTGTCAAGATGAAAACTTTAAACAAAATGCTGTCAAGATGAAAACTCCCTACATCATTAACCAAATCAATGACGACGCAAAATTCACAAATTACCAACTCCGCCACAGAATTGGACGAACTCGAATCCGAATATGCACCGAATCATAGACAATTGCAAAAACCCTAAGTCGGAACAGGCCTCCAATTCAATTGAAACCAAAAAACGCTCAATTTCGGAGGGAGACAAATCAAAATAAAAACCCTAGCTTTCGGTCGCCCAAGAAGGTAGCATCGAAATTGGCAGTGTTTCTGCCATGGGAATGGATACCCACAGATTGGGGAAGTCGCCGAAATTGTCAATTACAATGATAGACGACATAATAATGGAAAAGGGTGGGAAGAAAGACAAAGTGAAGGAACCTGGCAGAGCGAGAGAGACGGCGATCTTGACGACCAGCTTAAGGGTAAATAGCGAGACCCAGAGTTGAGTTAGCTCCGAGTTGACTCGCCATGCGAAGGCGCTGTCTTCTTCTTCTTCAGCTGCTGATACTAGCAAAAACTCATCTTCACAGAGAAGAAAGGCAGAGGAAATGGAACGGAAAAGAGAGGACACGAGACAAAAACAACAACAAAAAATGACAGAAGTGAAATGTGCAGCGAATGAGAAAAAGTCTCCCGTGAGAGATTACGAAGAAGAGACGTGCAGAATGATTGAGTGCGTGCGGGTTCTTGGTGACTCTCTCGTGGTGCTTAGCTTTCATCCGTCGGATTGAGATTGGCGAGCCGATTCAAAGAATAATGAGCTCGTTCTAATAAAGGGAACGTGTGGCTGGGATTTGGCTAATTATGTGAAGCTATGTAGTGGATTGTAAACGTGGATGCCACATGGTGGACATATGGCGCGGCCGTGGTCGAATTATTATATAGGTTAATAGGTTATAGGGCTAATACCACTAGGAAACCCGAACTATTAACTTTGTGTCATTTGTGTCCTAAAGTATTCGATACGACATTTGTGTCCTAAACTATTTCACTGTTAGAGTTGACCGGCGTTGACCGTTAGTTTTTAACAGAAAATCCAGTAAGCGCTGATGTGGCATCTGAAGTGGAATTTATAATATTAATTTATAATTATTTTTCATATAAAAAAATTAAAAAATTACAAAAATCCACTAGAAAACCCTTCCTCTTCTCCTTCTTCCTCCTCGACAGATCCGCCACCAGAAGCGTCTGATTTTGGGACTTTGTCGCCTTAATTGCACCATCGCCGCAGCAATGGAGGAGGCCGTCGCGAACTCGTCATCTTCCGCCGTGGCTCCAATGTGCTAGAGCAATATCTTGAAGAGCCAGCCGTCGGTGCCGTCACCAAAGCCACAGAGCTCTACGAGCGCGACCCAGATGTTCGTCGAGAGCTGCAAGTCGAGCAAAGGGATTTCGGTGGGATGAAGCGCATCGACTGTGCCTTCCTCGCCAACAACGATGGATTCCTTATCAGAACCCTCAACGACGAAGACAGAGTCGATTTAAAGGCGTTGGGGATCGATTCATCTTCTTCTCGATATCAGACTCGACCTCCCTGCTCAATTCGACTTCGACAAGCAGAAAAGGCAGATTTGCTTGCAATTGGGAGGAAGAGATATGGTTGGCGGTGACTACCCTTATAGTTCTGCAATTCAATCGCGAAGGGTTTTTCTCGGTGCTGGCTATTCTATATGGGGCGGAGAGTATGACGACGACGGAGGAAGCAGAATCGGCGGTGGGAGAAGGCGGCGACGGGGAGTGTAGCGGCGACGATCGGTAGTGATGGGAGTGTTTTTTATTTTAATTTTTAGAAACAATATTAATTAATTAAGTTTACATTTTTTTTAATTTTTATAACAATATATTATTTTTTAATTTTTAATTTTTTTTTTAATTAAAAATATGAGGTGTCATTGACGTGGCATCTACGTGGCTGCCACGTCAACAAAAGTCAATGTTAATGTTGACTTTCGTTTGGTCAACCGTTATATATAACGGTCAACAAAATCGTCAGGACATAAATGACACAAAACTATAATAGGTTGGGACACAAATGTCGTATCGAATACTTTAGGACACAAATGACACAAAGTTAATAGTTCGGGTTTCCTAGTGGTATTAGCCCTAGGTTATAATACTTAAGACTAGGGTTGGGCATGCAGGTTGTTGACCTGCGATCTGACCCGATCCGCTCGCAAAATGACCCAATCTGCATGATGTGGGTGGGTTGGCGGGCGGGTGACGGATAGGGTAAATGGTGATCCGCAGAAGGTGGATGGTTCGTGAGCGGATCTGCGGGCCATCCGCAAACCCGATCACCATCACACATCACAACACTACTGTTGTCTGCTGGCTAGGTCTCGTCTTTGTTCCTTACTTCCCCACCCAAAACAATCGACACTTTCTTACCATATTCTGAAAAATGTAATTTATGTCTAATTTTGTTGGTTTCAAATGTAATTTGTACGAGCAAAAGAATAACTCACATCGACATACATAAGCAAAAAAGACGAAGGGCATATGTTGATTTTCTTGTATACTGAATTAGGTCGACCGTGAAACCAACACTTGATCTTCATTTTATGTCAAATGATGATGGATAAATGGATACAACACTTCTCTTCTATATGGTCGACCTCTTTCTGTAAATGGTCGACCATTTTGTTAATGACCGCCATCAAGTGGTCGACCTATATACCTTTACGGTCGGCCATTTTGCTTCTGACCCCAATGAAAAGGGCGACCGATGCTTTATTGTGGTCGACTAACAATGAAAACTTAAACTACAAACGGTCGACCATTACATTTTAAAGATCGATCGTGATAAATCATCAGGGTGCCCACATTAGTGTATTCGGGAACCTCACAAAACTGAAACGACATATTAGGTCAACCTAATCCTATATAAGGTCAACCTAAAAGTGCAGATTAGGTCGACCTAATCCTATATGAGGTAAAGTGTAAGTGACGGTGACATGCATGTCACCATAGGCATACCCTAATACTTATGTTAACACTTTTTGTAGTATGGTGTTAACACTTGTTGTCGATAATATTTTATTTAGATGTGTTAACACTTTTTAACTTAATTGAGTTGACTACTATTAATGAGGAAGAATGGGTGAAAAGACACTATTGGTATTATGATAAATTGGGAGAGGGGGAGGAGACCAATATATTAAGACATTAAATGGGGAAAGGGGTGGGAGGACCACCAAACATAGACCACAAATACAAGAGAAGCCCTCTCGTCAACCTACCCATTATCGACCAATACATCCTTGAATCAACCCGCTAACAACCAACATGTGATACAATCGCATTGTGTTCGGTCCTGCTCCAGTCACATATCATTCATTGTTCTGATTGACCAAGCAAATCCTCGCTCAACTTAGTTTTGCTGTGATGCTAACGTTGCAGGTCCCATAGCCATCCTCTACTTTCGAATTGCGGTCCCCTTTTCCTGAAATTTCCATGTATCGAAAATAGCTTCGTCGCCACCAATCATGCATTTGTCATCGATGTTGGTGATTGGCACTAGGAGGGTGATTGTTTCCAAAAAATTTCATTTAGCGGCTGCATGAATCTTTCCTCTTGTTAACTTCTTCATGAAGTTTGGTTGAGTCATGATGGCGTTGCGATCAGGAGCGTACTTCCCAATCGTAGTCGTATCTTCTGGCTTTCCTGGATTTTCGATGAGAAGCCGCTATGCATTTTCTTGATTGGAGACCATTTCCACGGTAGCGTTAGCACCGTGGCTGGCTAGGAACGAGCTAAGGGTTGCTCTACAATTGTTGTAGTTTCTTTTGCTTGTACCGTAAATAAGACCTGCAAGAATCCTTATGACGATCATTTGGCGGCACAGATTGTGGAGATACTGATCGATTCCTTCATCAAGAATTTATTGACTTAAGCACAATTTTGCTGATGAATCCCGTAGAATGAAGTCTTCATGTAGAACTCAAAACTGTGCAAATTCGACAATATATTATTGATGCTTAGTAAAGATCATAAGTACACAACGCTTATCAACGAACTTGGCCACTAACAACAGAAACCCTTGATTTCAGCCACCACTAACTTACCAACTAACAACACTTTGACTCTCAAGCTCTCCAACTGAAAATACTCAAAATGACTCAAGTTCAACATAATAAAAACTCAAGATTTAAATGAACTAAATTAAAACAACACAATTTCACTAAATGAAAAATACTTTATTTTGAACTTCCTTCTTGGCGCCATTCTTCAAATCCGTGAGAGCTTCATATTGGTTTGCCTCTGCAACCTTTCTTCTTCTTCTTCTTCTTCTTCTTCTTCTTCTTCTTCTTCTTCTTCTTCTTCTTATTATTATTATTATTATTATTATTATTATTATCCAACAACAAATCATCCCCTGAACGGAAGCCACTCTCTCATCTGCAGTTCACCTTCTTCAAACTTGAAGATGTAGAGAGAATGTCTGATACATCACAAACACCCATCTTGCTTCTTAGTAGTTGGAACACTTCCAGTTTTAGATGCTTAGTCATGATGTAAGGAACCTGCTCATGAGTTCCACACTGCTCAAGCTTCAGGATTCCTTCATTATCCAGCTGTCATAAGAAGTGAAATCGCACATCAATATCCTTGCTTCTTCCACGAAGCAATAGATTCTCGGAGAGCTTAATAGTAGAGACGGTATCACATAAAATTTTTGTTGCTGGCATTCCATGCTTCTTCCAATTCATCTGCTCAAGAATCCTCCTCAACCAAACACATTGTGCTGCACAATATGCTGCAAACCGCACATTTTGCCTCATTGGTTGACAAAATCACAATAGGTTGCTTCTTGGAGGCCTAGGAGACGACACCATCATCAAGAAGAAGACATAGGAACTAGTTGATTTCCTGTCATCTATATCCCCAGCATAGTCACTATCAGTATAGCCTAGTAGCTCATCTTCTCCTTTACTTCTTCTCTTGTACGAGATCCCAAATCTCATGGTTCCCTTTAGATATCTCAGTACTCTCTTGGCAGCCAACATACGTTGTCTTGTTGGATGTTCTATGTACCTGTTAAAATCACAATAGTTCAAAGCATGATCTTGCTCAGTGTGTTTTGAATTCTTTGATGATTATGATGGTGTGCATTATAGGTAGTAGTGCGGTGTACAAAAATTCTTGATAATGAGTGACTTTATTTTGATTTCTTCTCGATTGAGTGAAAGTGTTTGTTATAGAGGTTAGGGCATGTGTGGGAATCTAAAATTTTGGACTCCAAAAAGTTTTCAAAAGGTGCTCCGATTTGAAAAAATTGAGTTTCTCACGTGGGAGGCAATCAGGCAAACACGCATAATGTTTGAGTTGATCCATCGAAGGGCTCAATGTCTGGCCTTGTTCTAGTCACATACAACATGCCGCCAAATAGTTGCTTGTGTTCAGTGGGATTCACCATCACTCCATCTTGAGATTATGCACAAAGTTGCAATTAAGTAGCCCGAATCTTTCGGAAACTTCTTTTATATACTTATGCTGGACTATGAACACTTTTGATTCATTGTGTATCACCTCAACTCCGAGAAAATAGTGCATTTCCTCAAATATGTCATCTCAAATTATGCATGTATCGATGATTTAAATTATGAAATCATAGAGGGATCATTACTTGCATATATTAAATCTTTTTATTTTTTGGCAAAAGATAATCTTATATTGATTCAAGAAGAGATAATTACATCCTGGAACCTAGCCAGCCCTGGAAATAAAAAACACAACTCATAGTCGGAGACAAAGAAAGGGTCTCCCTAGTCACCCTGTGGGCTACCCTATTGTTATTCCGACCTACAAACTTGCATATATTAAATCATCAACCTACAGACTTAGTATTAGGATGTCAGACATATTTTTGGCCACCCCTACGATAGATAGAGAGATGCGTAACATGATTGGGCCGATTTCAACAACGCTGATCACAGACATATTTTTCTCGATCTGAAATTGGGCCAGAAAAGAGTTGGTTGAAGATAAAAGCCCATATACAACAACCCAATTCAAGGAAGCACCGGCAAAACAACAGGAACGGAAGGGAAACATTTTGCGGAAGAGGGTATTTATTTGCAGGTCAGGCTGGAGGTAGGACCATCACGCCACTTTGTTTGTTTGTTTGTATTTTTTTTTTAAAAACAACCTCCATCATCCTAACCAGTGATGGCCAATTTGGTATCCAAGTAAATGTTTTCAGTTTTACGTCATTTTCCCTCCAATTAATTTTTTTTTTTTATTGAATATTTTCCTTGGCACTTCTTTTTTCCTACTTATCCAAAGCTCCAACCACGCCAAGCCATCACTACATACAACTGTGCCACGTCTGATATTTGTGTGATTTTCAGCAACATTGCACATCATAATTTCATATGATTTTAACCCAAAGTCGAAGTCATTGAGATCTAAAATAAATCGATTAATTAAGATTAACCGCATACCAATTTTTTTTTTTTTTAGAAAAGTGAAAAACGATGAAACTGGAGTCTGTGATTGGGGGGGGCCCCACTGGCACCTAGCTCGTCTCCTTCTCCTGCGTGTCATACACCCTGTCACTTTGTCCGTACCCTGTCTCTTCCTCCTCCAACCCGTAGCTCGCACGTGCGCTCCCCCTTCTCTTTTCTCCCACCTCCGCCCACACGTGCCGCCACCAGCTCTCCTTTTCCCTCTTCTTCCTTTCTCCTCCTCCTCTCTCTCTCACATTTTTCTGTGGTGCAACAACAATTGCCTCATCACCCTCCTCACAAAAAGGCAGCGATTCTTTTCTGGAATCTCAGAGGAAATTGAAACTCAACAAGAGAGAGCGAGAGAGAGAGAGAGAGAGTACAGTAGTACTAAAAGGGAGATCGATCAATTTGTTTCTCTTCTGCGTTCTCGATCTCGTGAGTTGGAGCTTCGTGATTTCGCTTCTCGATCTCTGTGCTGTGGCGGGGAGGGGAAATCGATGAGGATCAGGAAGAGGAAGGTGCCGCTGCCGTTCCATTTGCTCTCTCCAGTTCCAATCCCAGCTCCTTCTTTCTTCTCCTCTCCAGATCCCGACACCACCGCCGCTACTACTCCGCTGGTGCAACTCCGCCACGGCGCTTCGGTGACGAGACCGCCGATTCCCGCCTCCGATGATAACAAAGCTGTTGCTGCTTCTGCTGTTTGTTGTGGCGGTGGAGCAGCAGGCCCGACTGTTCGTTCCGGTGGCATTGGGCCGGCGCATCCGATTTACCCGGTGAGTTCCTCCTCCCTCTTTTTCAATTCATCTCAAAATTTACCTTGGATGTAAATATTTTTTTTTTTCCTGATTGTTACTCCTCTCCTCGTGGCTGACTGTGATTCCGATCGAACTGCGATTCGTAAAAGTTAAAATTGCTGGCTGGGATCGCAAGAGCTGCTTTCTTTTAGTAAAATTTTTTTTTTCCAGGAAAAAAAAATTTGATGCAGCAGCAAGCAGTAAAGAGAGGGGAGAAATGATTGGGTGGATCCAATCCATCGATCCACCTAGATCCCACTGTGCCTTTATTTCTGATATGCTTTTTTTTTTATTTCCTTTTTGGTTAATTAGATATCGTGGAAAGATGAGAAAGAAGAATTTGGGATCAATGCCAACAATGTTGCTGCTGCAGCGAGGTAAAAATTCCCATGAAATTATGACTTCCCAAACAGAATTTTGTGGGGGTTTTTTTTTTTACTGTATGTATCCATATATCTAGGAAGGGAAGTAAGTGCAGCAGCAGGAGTAGTAATGCTGATCCTGAAATGTTGAGACAACAACGACAACCAGCTGCTGCTTCTGCTTCCCATCTCCCACCTGGTAATTATCAGTAACAATGATCCAAATCTTTCTCTTCCGCTTTCATTGCACCATTGCAGCAATCCGTCTTGTGTAACACTATAGTTAACATTGGTTTGCGCAGTATCGTCGTGGTGTCAAGATGTGAAGAACGATGATGCTAATAACAAGTTGTCACCGTTCTTCCCATCCAGGAAGAGAAGCAGCTGGTCATCCTCCCCCTCATCCTCGTCCTCAGCCTCCTCCTACTTCGACATTGGACCATCAAATGGTCAGCAAGGGGATAAAACTCGGGGTGATACCAAAGTTGTGCATGCTGCTGATCATCACATCAGCGGGATAGGTGATGGTGTGAATAGTAGTAACGATAAGAAGAAGAGATCGTCAGGAGGAGGAGGAGGAAGAGGTGGTGGTGGAGTGGTGATGGAAGGGTCTCGGTGCAGCCGAGTAAACGGGAGGGGATGGAGGTGCTCGCAGCCAACTCTCGTGGGTTACTCGCTGTGCGAGCATCACTTGGGGAAAGGCCGCATGAGAAGCATTACTGCAGCAGCCAGCAGGCGATCGCAGTTTGTGTTTCCTGCTAGTAAGAAGAAGTCGAAGCTTGGGGCGGTGAAAGCTCGGTCCATTAGCAGCTTGCTGGACCAACCCGATAACAGTAGTAATGCTGCTGCTGCTGTGGTGCAACAGCCAGCCAGCGGCAGCTAGTATCCCAGCTTGTTGAGTAGTCCAACGGGATCTCTAAGGTGCAATTGTGTGATAACAAGAAGATAGTATACTATGTTGTCGAATGCAAGTGGCATGCATTGATGGGACCGATCGATTTATGTCCGTGAAAGTAAAAAAATGGATCTTGAACAGCTGCTTTTCTTTGTAAAATATAGTTTCCATGATTGATGGCTACAATCATAAAGGGCAAAAGAAAGATGACTAGCTAGTTATAGATAGGGGTGGGCATTCGGTAGGTTCGGTTTCGACCGAACCGAAATTATGAATACTGGGTTCCCGAATTCTCTCAAATCTCAAACCGAATTCGAACCGAATTATAATTCGGTCCGGTTCGGTTTTTCACACAAGACCGAATTTGTTAAGCTACTTGTATCTTCTCACTTTTAAATTATTTTTTACCCCTAATATGAACAATAAATATGCAAATATATGCATCATCAATGATACAATCAAACTTTTCAACACATAAGTCATAAAACATTTCAAATATTTAAGTCTAAAAACAACTGCAAACATAAAAATTTACTATTTGTAGCTTGTAATTATAGTATTTCGGTTTTTCGGTCGGAAATTCGGTTCGGTTGAAAGAACTCTGGTTTCCGAACTATCCATATTTTCCTCCAAATTCCGAACCGAATAACATTAATTCGGTTTCGGTTCGGGTTTACTGAACCGGTTGCCCAACCCTAGCTAAAAAGGTCGAGAATTGGTGTATATTATATATATGGTGGCTGATTACCGTAGAGTTTAGTTTAGATGGAGAATGAGTATAATATATGTGATTGAGATGAGGGAGATGAAGGGTCGGGATTAATATCAATCACCGCTCAGCGATTAAATATTTTGTGCTAAAACTGTGACTTAACTGATGTTAAATCGTTAAATAATGCTGAAAACTAATTATCACGATTTCGACTTTGTTATTAAATTTTTTCGAGTCGGGCTATAGTATGATTTTACAAATACTAGATGGCAATGGAGAAACATTGTGCATATATCTTTTGACCGTGCTGGAGCTGGAGTACAGACAGATACAGCACTAACCCACCTTGCTCCTCGATTGGCTGCCACCTAAAGTGTTCGTTGTGTACACCCTTATTATTCCCTGCCGGTCCCCTTTTCTAATCCTCTACATAAAAACATATAATATCTCCCATATGGGAGCTTTTTGTTAATTAATTAGCCAAATGGGTACAAGGAATGGAGAGAATATCGTTAATTAGTTAAACAAAAGCACAGTAATGCGCTTAGCTTTAACCAAAAGAAGTCAAGATTAGCAGGCTGTTGTTGTCTCTGTACTTGCGTTGACCTAGAGAAAGAAAAAGGCAATAAAAAGGGAAAGACGGCTGAGACCACATTCAGTAATTAAAAGTTGTAGTTAACAAGGAGGAATTTTACAATACTATATAGCATTGGTGCTATAGGTTTTTGCTTTTATGGTACAACTTGAAGTTGTACTTTTAACGTTATGGTACAACTTTAGATTGTACCTATACTTTTTGTATAAATTCTTTTATGGTACAACTTGAACTTGTACTTTTATGTGATGGTACAACTTCAAATAATAAAGTTGTACCATAACATAATGGTACAAATTCTTTTATTGTACAACCTAAACTTATACATTTAATGTTATGGTACAACTTCAAGTTGTACATTAAAGCACCAATACTATATAGCATGGTAGAAGTGCTCGTTAACAAGATTATTGATATATATATATCTGGAGGCAACTGCTGGATCGGCTAATTATATGTCGACTAACAACATCAAGCTAGGTAACAAAAATTGTACGCAATACAAATTAAGTATTAAGTGTGATATAAGATTCATTCTCGAAGAAATATCATATTCTGGCCAGAATAATTATTCATGCAGAGAAACTACAGTAATTGGTACTAATGGTTTAATTTAGTCATGCATTTAGTCTTACTTGCCAATTATTAGCATACAGATTATTTTGGTGTTGTTAATAATATATAATGATCAGACATAATCATTAATTAGGGTCTGCCTGCTGTTATACAACTCTATGATACTATGATTGATCATTGGCTTCCCCGTCATCTTTGGTCTTCAATCGGTTTGAGTAGTTTCTTGAATATGGTCATTTCGATTTCATATATCTCTCAATATACTTTTGTTGGATGTAATTTATTATATTTGACAAATCAGAATCATCAGTTATTATCATTTTATATATTTGATTTTTGGATTTTGGTTTAAAGAATTGGGATTTAGGGTATATTGATTAGAGATTAAAGAATATTATCATTCTCCAAACTCGATTTAATTCAAAATATACATGGTAATACATTTCTCATCACCTATATATTCACTTGATTCAAGTCAATTATCATGCCCCATATGGTATATATATATATGCCAAAGATTAGCATAGATTTGTCGTATATTGTTTGTCTCCGTTCACACCTATTAGACGTACTTCGACGAATGAGAACCAAGCCTTGTGGTGTGCGGGAGGTCATAAAGGACCTTCCACTTCAGAGTCTACATTATGTATAATGTTAATTACTTTAAAATTAGTGTTGGGTTTTAATTATAAATTAAAACATAGAAAATTAATGTATCGAGCTTTTATTATGTGTCTAATATAATAAAAAATTATACTCATAATCTAAAAGAACGAATGGGCCACATGAGAGGGAAGATTTGCTTTCTTAATAGAATTTTTCCAAACCATATAAAAGAGCACATTCTTTGTCTTGTGTTTTATTTTTAGAGAGAATAAAAGATTGGTGAGATTTCTTACGACTCTTATTATTAATACTTAACTATAATAAGGCGCAAACCACCCAAAATAAAAATAAAAAGAAGTAAATCAATTACAAATAGTTCGTAACATACTTAACTTTAGACTTAAAATTTGTCACTTTCTCCTATCTAATATTCATTTTTATATTATTTTTTATACTCTTCAGATATTCTATATTCTCCTCTCCGATTCAATTAAGTTCTTATCACCTATTCATTTGATTAATGATTATTTCTATTTTACTATATTTTTATGAAAATTTTTTGGGCCACATTTTGTTTTTAGAACAATGGCCTCTGTAATCTCATATCCGATCCTGATGAGAACCATAGTTAATTCATTAGAAATTATGATATAGTATTATGCGTTAAACTTCTATTAATTCATGGTCTAAATAACTAACGATAACGTTGAACCATATATATATTTATGGAGTCAGTGAAGGGTAATAAGATTAAGCAACAAAAGAATTTTTGCTCCTAGCTACTTGGTGGCTATATTAACCGATCGAATTTCAACGCATAATCACGATTGCATGGTTTAATTGGTTTTCCCATGCATGGACCCTACCGTTGCTTGCTGCATCTTCACCCACGTATTGCCTCTCTCGTTGAACTTGAAGGAACGTCACAGGCCACAACCTAAAAAAATACATTCCCCGAAAAAAGAAACCCTATTAAACTAATCTAATTAACAATATTGGAGGTTATTAATATTCATTTTACTGAGATTCCTCAAAAAAAAAAAAAATATTCATTTTACTGTAATAACGCTATATGAAAAATAATGAACAGATTTCGAGGAGATGGAAAAGAAGGAGTGCATGGGACAACTATATATGGCCGGCCGGCCGGCCAGACCCAACAATATTGCGTACGGATGTTGTACACCGAAAAAGTAAGCAATATGATATTTTACGTTGAAATCCTGGTTTAATCGTGGTTTATATTACTAAATATCGTCTACCAGTTTTGATTTACACAGAAGATTTTCCTGATCGAACCACTAATACGTGCGGTACGATTTTTCAATCTTGCTTATTAGTATTTCAGCTTTGCCTGCCTGTAGGGATGGCAATTTCGACCTGACCTGTTTTACCCGACCTGTTTGACCTGTTTTGGGGCGGGTCCGACCCGCCCCGTAGGCGGGGCGGGGCGGGCATGGGTAGTCTTATCGACCCGACCTGCCCTGACCCGCCCCATTCTCGACCCGTTCTTGTCTAAATTACATGTAATTTTAGTCAAATTACTTAGGATTTTCCTTTTATTGCATCATATTTTAGATATAAGAAAGTTGTAAATTAGTGAAAACCTCAATTTCTCCAGTAATTTAACTACAATTATCATAATATTGTTTGTTTTCTTAGTCTTGTAATAAAAATAACGAATATTTCTAATGTTTTTAATATAAATTGTATACCCATTAGATCGACCTGCCCCGACCCGCGACCCGTGATCAATTACCCGACCTGAACCCAACCTGCCACAGGACGGGTCTGGGTACCAAAAAACCCGCCCCGGACCTGCCCATTGCCATTCCTACCTGCCTGGCCGGCTGCATACCATATATATGACATCTAACTACAATTACAGCTATCAAAGACGTTCCTTTCCTTCCCAATAAATAGCTACTTAGCCGATCAACAAATGTTGCTTTCAGAGACCAGAGTTGCAGTACTAACGAAAAGTCAGTGATCATCTTTTACTATATCGTGAAAGGCTGACTTTTTAAGTGCCAAAATCTTGGTGGAACATAACGGAGAATTC